CTGCAGCAGCCATGGCCAACGTTAGCCCGACTGCAGCAGCCATGGCCATCGTTAGCCCGACTGCAGCAGCCATGGCCATCGTTAGCCCGTCTGCAGCAGCCATGGCTAACGTTAGCCTTGGCTGCTTGCAGACGGGCTAACGATAGCCTTGGCTGCTTGCAGACGGGCTAACGTTAGCCCGTCTGCAGCAGCCATGGCCATCGTTAGCCCGTCTGCAGCAGCCATGGCTATCGTTGGCCCGTCTGCAGCAGCCATGGCCATCGTTGGCCCGTCTGCAGCAGCCATGGCTAACGTTGCCCCGTGTGCAGCAGCCATGGCTAACGTTGCCCCGTGTGCAGCAGCCATGGCTAACGTTAGCCCGTCTGCAGCAGCCACAGCTATTGTCAGCCCGTCTGCAGCAGCCAAGGCTATCGTTAGCCCGTCTGCAGCAGCCATGGCTATCGTTGACCAGTCTGCAGCAGCCATGGCCATCGTTAGCCCGTCTGCAGCAGCCATGGCTAACGTTGCCCCGTGTGCAGCAGCCATGGCTAACGTTGCCCCGTGTGCAGCAGCCATGGCTAATGTTGCCCCGTCTGCAGCAGCCACAGCTATTGTCAGCCCGTCTGCAGCAGCCACAGCTATTGTCAGCCCGTCTGCAGCAGCCACAGCTATTGTCAGCCCGTCTGCAGCAGCCAAGGCTATCGTTAGCCCGTCTGCAGCAGCCATGCCTATCGTTGACCAGTCTGCAGCAGCCATGGCTAACGTTAGCCCGTCTGTAGCAGGCAAGGCTATCGTTAGCCCGTCTGCAGCAGCCATGGCTATCGTTAGCCCGTCTGCAGCAGCCATGGCTATCGTTGGCCCGTCTGCAGCAGCCAGTGCTAACGTTAGCCCGTCTGCAGAAGCCATGGCTATCGTTAGCCCGTCTGCAGCAGCCATGGCTAACGTTGCCCCGTGTGCAGCAGCCATGGCTAACGTTGCCCCGTGTGCAGCAGCCATGGCTATCGTTAGCCCGTCTGCAGCAGCCACAGCTATTGTCAGCCCGTCTGCAGCAGCCATGGCTATCGTTAGCCCGTCTGCAGCAGCCACAGCTATTGTCAGCCCGTCTGCAGCAGGCAAGGCTATCGTTAGCCCGTCTGCAGCAGCCACAGC